ATGAATTGAAGTTTTTGCATATGAATTGAACTTTTAGGATATGAATTGAGCCTTTAGGATGTGAATTGAAATTTTTGTGTATGAATAGAACTTTTAGGATATGAATTGAGCCTTTAGGATATGAATTGAACATTTAGGATATGAATTGGACTTTTAGTTTATGTATTGGAATTTTCTAATGAATCCTCTTTTCTTGTTTTTTTAATTTCGGTCTTTCTGAGCCGAGGGTCTATCGGAAACAGCCTCTCTGCCCTATCGGGGTAGGGGTAAGGTCTGCGTACACATTACCCTCCCCAGACCCCATTATGTGGAATTTTACTGGGTAGTAGTATTGTTGTTGTTGTTATTGGAATTTTAGTTTATAAATTAAAATTTTAGGATATGAATTGAACTTTTGTGGATATGAATTGAGCCTTTAGGATATGAATTGGACTTTTAGGATATGAATTGGACTTTTAGTTTATGTATTGGATTTTTAGTTTATAAATTGAAATTTTAGGATAAGAATTGAACTTTTGTGGATATGAGTTGAACCTTTAGGATATGAATTGAGCCTTTAGGATATGAATTGGACTTTTAGGACATGAATTGGACTTTTAGTTTATGTCATGACCCTAGTTCACCAACCGTGAACATGTCAAGACGGCACCTGGTCCCCATGACCAGGTAAGCCTAACATTTGCGGAAATATAATAATTGCGAAAAAATAGAGAAAATCAAATTAAATATCTAAAGAAAACTGTACTGAATGCCGCGTGGCAAGTACAACTCAATATCACAAGTCTAAAACAATTCCAAAAACCCGGAAACTCACGGGCAACACAGGCTACAGAAGTGTATAGTAAAGGTTCCAAACTCCAAAATTTCTAACAACCGAAGAAGGAAAACTAAGTACTAAAGAGAGAGTAAGAGGGAGACTCGTCGGTCTGCGGACGCAGCAGATCTACCTCGAAGTCTCTGTAGTCCTCCTGCCTCACTGATAGTGCGTCTGAGTAGAGGTACCTGGATGATCTGCACATGAAAAACATGCGCAGGAAGGGCATGAGTACACCACAGCGGTACTCAGTAAGTGCCAAGCCTAACCTCGGTTGGGTAGTGACGATGAAGGTCAGGGCCCTACTGAGACAAAATATAATAATAATAATAATAATAATAATTTAACAATATAAAAATCTGACAGATATAATAAGTACAGCAGTGAGATAAGACAAGTCAACGAGGCTATAACAACTACACGAGTACAGAATAAACAAAGAGTAAACACAGCTCAATACCAATGATAACAATGAGGGTCTCCCAGGACACCGTCCTGTAGCCCTTTTTCTCATCTGTCCAGTGGATCTCCCGGGATACCGTCCCATAGTCCATCATATGTGTACATCCGAAGGATCTCCCGGGATACCGTCCCGTAGTCCAACCACCAATGTGCAGGGGGGATCTATCGGGAATCTAACTCGCAGTCCCAAAGTAAAAGTGTAGGGGGATCTATTGGGAATCGAACCCGCAGTCCCAAAGTAAACAAACAAGGGGGGGGGAGCTACCAGAATCCCACATCCGTAGTCCCAATGTAAATGCGCAATCACAACCAGAAGGTACACGGAAACGAAGTACAAACGACAAGCAACAGGTAGTACTGGCCTAGCATGCTTCACGTAGTACAGTTAAGGCAACTTAAGCAATTAGGCAAGTTAAATCAACTAAACATGCTTTCTTAATCTAGCACAGGTTATAATTGCAAGTAGAATAAAGCAAATATGAAAGGAACTCAATGTCATTATCTTAAGAAAACCGGATTTTCAACAATTGGCTCAAGTACGCGCCCGTCACCTCGTGTACAATCACTCAAATCAACAAATAACAAATCCTAAGGGGAAAGGTCCCCCACACAAGGCTAGACAAGCCACTTACCTCGAACCGGCTCAATATCAATAGAAACCACGCCTTTGCCACGAGTATCCGACTCCAAATGGCCCAAATCTATTCAATTCAATTACATATCGTAAATAATATTGCAAACAACTGATTCCACTATTAAAGTTAAAGCTAGGGCGCGAAAATAGATAAAATGACCAAAATGCCCCTCAGGCCAACGTCTCGGAATCGAATAATTTTTACATTTTCAGAACCCTCGTACTCTCACGAGTCTAACCATATAAAAATCTCCCAAATCGAAGGTCAATTGCCCACTCAAAACTCAATAATTAGGTCTATGAAGTTTCTTCCAATTTTCCCCAATTTTGACCTTGAATTCGAATTCTAATGGTGGATTTAACTATATAATGATGAAATATAATAAGAAGGGACCAAAGAAATGTTACCCAGTGATATTCAATTCAAATCCCACTCAGAATCGCCTTAAACCGAGCTCTCAATTGATTTTTGCAACTTATGAACTCAAACCCTCGACATCTCTATTTCTGTCCAGGGGTTTCCGCTTCTGCGGACCACGAGCCGCTTCGGCGATTCTTCATTAAAGTCAAGATTTCCGCTTCTACGGCCCTTCACCGCACCTGCGGTTGCCGCTTATGCGGATTCATTACCGCTTCTACGGTTTCAAATAAAATTCCAAGGACCGCATCTGCGACTACTATCTCGCAGGTGCGTAACCGCTTCTGCGGTTAAACTTCCGCACCTGCGGAAACTGAAGAAGCACTCGAATTTCGCTCCTGCGGTGGGCTAGNATCATCCTTCTCTTCCAAGAAAAACGTTTTACCATTAATTCTTTTGATTAGCATTTCCATACTGTTGTCACTCAAATCATTGTCTGAATCCAAAGAAATATCACAAATCCCATTAAGCTTGTACGGATCAGACTTGGAAGAAAGTTGAGAATAAAACTTCCTTTCGTCTTTGTCATCACAGAGTCTTATGATCCCCGTTTTATGTGAACTGCCATGAGCAAAAGACAACTTTCCATTACCATCAACCTTGTCACTCTCAATTAAATTTCGTTTCCTCTTGGAAGATGAAGTAGAGAATTCCTCTATGACCTCTTCTTTTATCTACTTAGGAAATGTTAAATTCCTACCTACACCGTCACTGTTTGAAACACATGCCATTGCCTTCCCATCATCATTGTCGCTAATGAGAACAACAATTGATCAAAGACATACCCTGTTAGGTACTGTATCTAAGTTATTCTCTGTATCCAAGTTCATCCCGAGTAATAGTACTACGAGGATAATCACCAAAGCCACCAGATAGCTTTATGATGCCAATGAAGCAAGATGAGCTATTCAATGAGACTCGTATTGTAAAGAAGAAGAAAGAGACTGATCCAGAAAGGTGGGTCGAGGGCCGAGCTTCGACTGTACATGTAAGTTTTTTACTTTTCATTAAGTATTTTGATTTACTTTTATATAAATTTTGAAATACTAATTCAATGTAATTTTTCTTATAGGGTCGCTTCACAGATGACGTGGAGGAATTCATATGCAGTCAGGCACCTAATGAGTCGGGCGAGGCAATCAAACTTTCGGACGAGGATGCTGAAAGAACACTCCTTGAGTACTTTATATACTTTGAACTAGACAATAGAACCAGTTTTCGAATGAGCTTGTAATAAGCGTTAACTTAGTTTTGTTAGCTTAATGTGTTAGTTCTATTGAACTTTATACTGTGTTGGTTTTAATGTTGTTGTTGTGTTGTTGTCGTTGTTGGTATTGTTGTTGTTATTGCTTGTAATAGGAAATTTGGTATGCTGGCAGGTGGTGTAGCTGCCAAAACAGGCAGTTTCTGCCAAAATTATACCCTTTTCTATTTAAAAAAAATATTTTCTGGGCAATAACGACCAAGGTTGGTCGCTAATTAACCCAGATTTCCTAAAACGACCAACTTTGTTCGCTATTCTATTAAAAAAAAATTCTGGAAAATAGCGACCAAAATTGGTCGCTTACGTTTAAAAAATAATTAAATTGTTGAAATTAGCGACAAATTTTGGTCGCTTATGTTTAAAAAAAATTTAAAAAATTTAAAAAAAAAAAGCGACCAACTTTGGTCGCTATTTTCTAGATTTTAAAATATAATATTTGGTTTACAGACCAAAGTTGGTCACTATATTTTGATTAATAATAAATAAAAAAAACATAATTTAAATATAGAGACCAACTTTGGTCGCTAAATTTATATTATTAAAATATTAAAGCGACCAAAGTTGGTCGGTATATTATTTACCCGGAATATTTGGTCCTGTTAACTTAGAGACCAAAGTTGGTAGCGACCAACTTTGGTCTCTAAGGTAAAGGGACCAGCAAAATAGCGACCAAGCCAGTTTGGACGCTTTTTGGTCGCTTTTTGACCTGTATGGTCGCTTTTTGTGATCGCTTTTTTCCGGATTTCTAGTAGTGAAAGCTATTAAAGTCCTCTCATCAAGGAAGAGCAACGGAAAATAACCTTATTCTTGGAAAGAATCAATTTCTTTCCAAGGATCAAATCTCTTGGGTTGGCAAATCTCTTCAGCAACGGCCTCCTACAAAGTATTTATACATATCGTTAAGCCTTAGACCGATATACTTTGATCGAACCAAATACCCTCTCTTTGTTCGACTGCAAACAAACATTGTAGCTCTACTAGATCTGTTGTGTAACAAGTTAGAGAAGAAAGAGAGAGAAATACTAGTGAGACATTGTATAAAAAAAAAACGAGTGACCTAGAAACTGAGGCATTGGTATAAACCACACCATTCACGTTGTACTCGAGAAAATCATTCACTTAAAGAGAACTCCCTTGCAACCCAAGGGGACTGGACCACGATTCACATTAAATCCGAACTAGTATAAAAATTCCGGTGTCTTTAATTCCTGCACTTTATTTCTGCATCTTAAATTCGTCTCTTCTTATTATCTCGTTATTACATCTAGTCGACTAATTAGAAAACTAGTCAACTTGTAGCGATTAAAATATAAAAATAAATAATTCACCCCCCCCCCCCTGTACTTTCAATTGGTATCAGAGCAAGGCTCATATTTTTCTTTTGCTTAACAGCTTGTGAGAAAAGTTCATGGCAAATCAAGTTATTATCGGAGCACTCTTCCAAGAAGGAACATCGCAAGTGAGGCCACTGTATTTCAATGGACAACATTTCTCTCACTGTAAAGTGCGTATGGAAATATACGCAAAGGCCTATGATGTCAAAGTCTGGAGAGTTATCAAAAAGGGGAACTACCCTCTGCCGGCTGCCGCTCAATCACCTGCTGATCCAAAAAATATAGATGAATATACAGATGAGCAAATGGTAGTCTTGCAAGTTAACAATAAGGCAAGGAATCTGCTTTATAATGCTATAAGTGGTGAGGAATATGAGAAAATCTCCAGTTGCGATACAGCCAAAGAGATGTGGGATAAACTTAAATTTACTAGTAAAGTAAAAGAAACCCATATCAACATGTTGGTTTATGACTATGAACTCTTCCAGATGAAAGAAGGAGAATCTATTGAAGAGATGTTTGCCAGATTTAGCAAAATCATTAGCGATGTAAAAGCTTTTGGCAAACCATACTAAAGTGGTGATCAAGTTAGGAAAATTCTTAGAAGTCTACCCACTACTTAGCAGACAAAAGTGGTTACACTTGAATCACATGATTTGAACAAACTATCATACGATGAACTTCGAGGAGAACTCATACCTTTCGAGAAAACTCATAAACAAACCAGGAAGAAAGAAGAAAACAGTTGCATTGAAGGCCACAACTAAAAAAGCAGAAAATGATATTGATGATGACCCTGAAGCTCTTCAAGAAGAAATTGCCATGGTGTCAAGGAATATGGATGGTTTAATAAGGAGATACAGGAATGCAAGAAGAGAAAGAATACCACCCAGGCGAACCAGGAAATATAACGAACAAGACAAAAATGATGGCGAACGCTATGAGTGTGGAAGATTTGGGCATGTTCAAGCTAAATGTCCCGATCTTAAAATAAAAGTTTTCAGAGGCTTCAACAAGAACAAATCATTTGGAAGCCGGAGTGATGAAGACAGTTTAGAACACGAAGAGATAGCAAATCTTTGCTTCATGACAATTCTGGAAAACGACATGAACAAACTCTCAGGGTGCTGGACAGATGAGGACGCTTCAGAGGATGAATGAAAAGATGACAATGAGAACTATTTTATGGCACGAGGTGAAACAAGCAAGGTAAGATCTTATAACTGTGAAAAGTGTAATGAATTGCAGGATATTCTTGACTTTATTTTGAAAGAGTCACAAAAAATGATGAATGAACTAAAGAGACTCAACAAAGAAGTAAAACACTGGAAACTCAAGCTTGATGTATGTGAAACTGAAAAAGAAGTGCTTCAAGAAGAGATTGAGGAATTTCAAATGCAACTCAATGGCATGCACAAATCCACCAGTCATAGTTCTGTCAGGTCAAACCAGGCGACTTACAAGTCAACTGGAGAAGGACCAGCCAGAACAGAGTCCACTAGTACTAACACTAATGAAAGATCCAAAAATGGATCAACAGTTACGTGTCAGTACTGTAACAAAACCTTTTGTCGATTTCGTAAATCAAATATCTTGGGATGGATTTGGAAACCCAAAAGCAATCCAGAGTCGAGTAATACTAACCAACCAGGACCCAAACAAGCTTTGGTACATAAAAGAAAGTAATAACTATATTTTGCAGGAACACCACAAGAGGTCACAAAGGAAAACGATACTTAGATAGTGCGTGTTCCAGTCACATGACAGGTGACAAAAACCGGTTTAAGGAAGTTACAAAAATAGACGGAGGAAGTGTCAAGTTCGGTGATGACTCAAAAGAAAAAATAGTCGGTACCGGAACAGTTCCTTTCAATAATAATTGTGATATCACTGAGGTTTATCATGTTGACGGACTTAACTACAATCTTCTGAGTATAAGTCAGCTATGTGACTCAGGGTATGAAGTAATGTTCAAGAAAACAGGTTGTGCTATTGAATATGAGACAGGTAAAATAATCCTCCCAGGTAAAAGGTATGGAAATGTTTATATTCTTGATGGCTTTGAAAATATAGATGATCATATCTGTTTAGGCCAAATACATAGACAGACACCGGAACTTGGCAGCACTTTACACTTGGACACTTAAAGTTCGCATATTTCCTATTAGACACCGAAACTCATTTTAAACTATGTCAATTAAACACAAAACAATGACATGTCAAAGAAAGTGTTTCTCACTCTCCTTGAATGCGTGAATGAACAAAAAAAATAATTTCCTTTTTTTTTCTCCCCTTAAAATTTTCAGATTTTCTCTCCCCATTATTGCCATCGTCCTCCCTCCATAGTCACCACCGCCGGCTGCCACTCACCGTGGCGATTTTCTTCGTTTTCAGATCTGTCCATCACTACCATTATCTGCCATGATTTTCCACAAGAAGCACCATGAACCTAGTAAGGAGCTTCATTGACCCATTAGATGAAACATTATCACTCTCATCAATCCTTTCCCACTTCCAGAAAATCTCATGAGATAAACACTTTCAAAGATGAAAATTTAACCTTTGCAAAACCAAAGTTAAGATTTTCAACAATTGACCGGATAACAAAATAAATCTTTGAAGAAAAGCGGACAATTGAGCTTTCTAAGACGTGAAAGTGCGAGGTCTACGAAAAGTGAAATTTGACGGCTAAAGATGCACTGATGTTTAAGATTTTCCAACAAAATTTTCCAGCAAAAGTCCTTTTCTCACTAGCTAGGAGACGAGGGAAAGAGCCATGTTGTTCTGTTTATCTATTTGGAATAGCTGAAAAGGGGTTGGGCGGGGAAGGTTATGCGAAGAAGACAAAGGAGAGAGGGCAGGGGTGACGTCTGGCGACGGGATTAGATCCACTGGTGGGTGGGAGACCGTGACAATTTCGGGACGAAGGGGTTCTTTTTGTTACTTTTTTATTCTTTTCTCCAAAGACCTTAAATTTTATTGTGTCAAAGCCACGTGTCTTTTTTTAATTGGACTACTTTGCCACGTCATGCACGTGTAATCCACACAATATATTCCTTTGGCTGATTAGCAATTTTGTGTTTAATTGGCACAATTTGAAATGAGTTATAGTGTCTAATAGGAAAAAAGCTAACTTTAAGTGTCCAATTGAAAAGTGCTGCCAAGTTCCGGTGCTTGTCTATGTATTTGGCCTATCTGTTTAACATCCATATCTGATGATCCATGGTTATGGCATAAGAAACTTGGTCATGCAAGCATGCATTTGATAGAAAAACTTTCCAATCATGATTTAGTTATTGGTTTGCCTAAACTCAATTTCTCTAGAAATCATATATGTGATGCTTGTCAAATTGCAAAACAAACTAGAAACTCTTTCAAAAATAAAGATATTGTATCTACTTCAAAGCCTTTGCAATTGCTTCATATGGACTTATTTGGACCTACTAAAACTACTAACATAGGAGGGAAACGATATGCTTTTATTATTGTTGATGATTACTCACGTTTTACTTGGGTGATTTTCTTATCTTACAAAGATGAAGCTTTGAAATTTTTTGAGATATTCTGTAAGAAGGTTGAAAGAGAAAAGGGGTATCTGATTACAACAATTCAAAGTGATCATGGAGGAGAATCTGAAAGCAGAGTATTTGAAGATTTTTGTAATGATCAAGGATACACCCACAATCCCCAAGATCACCCCAACAGAATGGAGTTGTTGAGCAGAAAAATAGGACCTTGCAAGATATGGCAAGAACTATGATACTAGAATATTCGTTGCCAAATCACTTCTGGGCAGAAGGAGTAAGTACTGCTTGTCACATTCTCAACCGATGTCTCACAAGGCCCATTTTGAAGAAGACTCCTTATGAATTATGGAAAGGTAAACGACCCAATATTAGTTACTTTCATCCGTTTGGAAGCAAGTGTTTCATTCACAATAATGGTAAGGACAATCTTGAAAAATTCAATCCAAGAAGTGACGAAGGTATTTTTCTGGGTTATTCATTAAATAGTAGATCTTTTATAGTCTATAATAAACTCACATTGTGTGTGGAAGAATTAGTACCTATTATATTTGATGAGAATAACACTTCGGCCGAGAAAGTAATTATTGCAGGTGATGAAGATCAAACTCAAGAAATTCAGCAAACAAGCAAATCTCAAGAGTCGACTAATAAACTTGATGGTGTGATAGAGTCAACTAATAAGATCAGCAAAAGTCAATCAAAATATCCGAAGGAGTCAACTACTCATACAGTTCGTCCAAATGAATGGAGAAGTGAACCGGAATGTCCTCTAAAATTCATCAAAGGAGATCCAAGCGAAGGAATGAAAATCAGGGGAGCTCTTAAGAAGAAAGCAAACATAGCACTGATTTCTCAGATTGTGACAAAGAAAATAGAGGAAGCTCTGAAAGACTCAAGCTGGTTGCAAGCAATGCAAGAAGAGCTAGACCAATTCGACAAAAATCAAGTATGGAAATTGATGCCCAAGCCTGAAAATGCTCCTGTAATTGGAACAATATGGGTTTCCAAAAATAAGTTGAATGAGGATGGAAAAGTTGTGAGAAACAAAGCCAGATTAGTTGCTCAAGGATACTCACAACAAGAAGGAGTCGACTATGACGAAACCTTTGCTCAGTAGCTCGATTGGAATCTATACGAATTCTTCTTGCATATGCATCCTTTAAAAGATTCAGGCTATTCCACATGGATGTTAAAAGTGCCTTTTTGAATGGTTTCATTGAAGAGGAAGTATACGTGAAACAAACTCCTAGATTTGAAGATTCAGGGTTTCCCTACCATGTGTATAAACTGACCAAAGCGTTGTATGGACTGAAACAAGCTCCACGAGCATGGTACGAAAGACTTAGCTCATTTCTTTTTGATCACGGATTTACAAGAGGTAAAGTAGACATTGCCCTGTTTACTAAAAGATCATTAGAAGGTAATCTCATTATTCAAGTTTACATTGATGATATTATTTTTGGTAGTGCTAATCCTCTTTTGTGCAAAGAATTTTCAAATCTTATGCAAAGTGAATTAAAAAGATTATGATGGGAGAGCTAACGTTCTTTCTTGGACATCAAATTCAACAATCTGAAGAAGTAACGTTCATATGTCAGACAAAATATACAAAGGAGTTGATTTAAAAGTTCGGTATGAGCAATGCTAAAGCTATTGGCACACCAATGAGTCCTTCAACAAGTCTTGACAAAGATGAACAGGGAAATCCTGTTGGCGAAACTAAGTATCGTGGAATGATTGGCTCACTTTTTTATCCAACTGCTAGTCGACCAGATATTATGTTTAGTGTTTGTAAATGTGCCAGGTTTCAGTCAGCTCCTAAAGAATCACATCTGACTACAGTAAAGTGAATTATTCGATATCTCATTGGTACTGTCTTTCACGAATTATGGTATCCACGCTCTAACAATTTTAAACCAGAAGGTTTTTCAAATGCTGATCTTGCAGGAGATAAGGAAGACAGAAAAAAGCACCAGTGGGACATGCCAATTACTTGGAAAGGCATTGATATCTTGGAACAGTAAAAAGCAAGGATCAGTCGCATTATC